TGCCAGTGGTGGCGAAAGAGTCCACTTGAGTCCACGTTGCCTAAATCTGAAATAAATGACTCAAAAACAAAATTGAAACAGACCCCAGACTGATAAGGAGCAATTGGGCCAGAATGGCAACAGAGAGAAAAGCCTCCAAAGTGAACAAATCAGAGGGATGCCAGCGTGCGGGGGGGGGGGGGGGGGGGGGGGGGGGGGGGGGGGGGCTCGCAGGGCCCTGTCACGTGACCCGAGCACCGACGGAGGTGGGAGGGGAACAGAGACTGATCACGCTGTTACAGAGGCGCTGCTGATTTCAAAACGCCGGGAGTGCTAGCTCTCCCGTCCGGCTTGATTCTCTAGCAAGCAGCAGGGAAAATTGAGTCACTCAGAATCTCAGCTGCTTCCGCGCGCCCAGGGAGACCACCGCCAGGTGCAGTGGCCCCAAGAGGCTCCGATTTGGGCCGGGTCTCGGCAAAGCCCCACGGGGAGGGCGCCAAATGTATCGGTATCGGCGTAAATAAATGCAATGCAGATATTAAAGAATATTTACACTTTAATGATAAACTTACAGAACCGAAGTTCCCGCGTGGCACATGAGGTAGGAAGGAAAAGGGGCCGGAGCCGCCTCCTGTGCGCCCATTTATCTGTAGGCATTCGCCCGAGGCAAACCCCGCCCCCTAACCCTACAGCACAGGCTGACCCTGAAATTCCTCTGTAGCCTGAGGGTGGCCCTGAACTTGCTGCAATCTTGCTGTTTTCACAAGCTACCACACCCAGGCTATTATTTTGAAAGGTGTCTTGAGTTGGCAGTGCTGGCATATGTAACATGGCACTAAGCAGGTGAAGGCAGGGAGACAGCTAGAAGTTCAATGTCATCCTCAACTACATAGCAAGTTGAAGTTCCATCTGAGCTACCTGAGATCCTGTGTCAAGAACAATAAATGCAGTAGTTTCATAGAGTCAGAGGTCAAGGTCACCCCGTGGGCACGGAGGTTGTGTTCCAGTTCAGCCACTCTAGGGAGAGATAGTATCTGGGACAGGAAATTAGACTTTAAAAGTGGACTCTAACCTAAGAAGAATTGTCGGACCAGAATGTCCTAAACGTACGTGGACAGGGGGATTTTTCTGGGGACAGGAATCCATCTTTATGCACACAGAGCAGTCTGAGAACTTAGGGCATTTAGGCTTTTAGTTCCCAAAGGCTTTGAGGATAGTCATGCCATAACTTTCAAAATATTGTCAGAAGTTATAGTCCATTTTTCTTTTATTTTCTTCCAGTACGGGGGATAGAACCCAGGGTTTACATATGCATGGCAGGAACACTACTAATGAGTCACATCTCCAGCCCCAGAAATCAAAGCCTGGTCTTGGCTGCACTATAGGGAGACTTTGATGAGCAGGACTGTGTTAGTGATGTTCTGGTTAAGGAAAGGCAATACTGCCTTTAATCCCAGCACCTGGCAGGCAGAGGCAGGTGGATCTCTGTGAGTTCAAGGCTAGCCTGACCTATATAGTGAGTTCCAGGACAGCCAGAGCTGTGTAGAGGGACTCTGTCTCAAAACACAAAAGGACAAACAACAATGAAAGGAAGAAAGAAGGAAAGGAAAAGAAAGGAAAGGAAAAGGGGAGGAAAAAAAAAAGAAAAGGCAATTCTCTTTCCTGCCCAAACCCACGACAATGATGTACTGGTTGGAGAGAGAGACCAGCAGGGTGGCATCCAAAGTAAAGGCATCTCGATATTTCAGGCATATCTGGGAGGTGGTACCTCTCCTGGCGTCAACTTAACAGAATCTAGAACCACCTGACAGAAGGCCTCAGTGAGGAACTGACCAGGTCTGCTTGGCTGTGGGCACATCTGTGGGGATGGTTTGATGACATTCACAGAGGTGAGAAGGCCTGCACATCTGTGAGAGGACAAGGTACATTCCCAGGGCTTGGGTCTCGGACTGTAGAGAGGCGAGCTGAGTCCCAGCACGGATGCACTCATTCTCTCTCTGCTCCACTGTGAGTGGCTGCTTCCAAGTTCCTGATGCTTCGACTTCTTCACCAGGATGGACTGCAACCTGGAATTAAAACGAAACCCTTTCCCACCTACTTTGCTTTTGTAGGAAACAGGAACTGAAGCTAGGATACCTGGGGACTCCTTCACAATAGAGAAGGGAGCCAGCATACTGATAACTTGGAAGGTGGGGTCCACAACCATTGTAATCTGCGATTTGTTTTAAACATAGCTTCCTTGCACGTAAAGACATGAAAGCAGGACATTGTGCTTCTCAAAGGCACAAGAAGTCTTGTGTGATTTTTGTTTTGTTGTTTTTGAGACAGGGTCTTAGCAAAGGTTGGCCTAGAATCCACTTTGTGGCAGAAGGGTGACCTTGAAATTTCTAATCCTTTTGCCTCTACCTCCCGAATGCTGTCATCATAGCTGTACACTAACACACCCTATTCTCTGGTTCTGGAATAGGACCCAGAGTTTTGTACAAGCCAAGCAGGCCCTCTACCAACTGAACTATAGCCTCAGCCCCACAGGCAGCCTTTTAGTGAACTACTCTTCTCCATACTGGACTCAATAAATGAGAAAAAAAAAAGCAAACAAGCTAAGTGTTTTTTGTTTGACTTTATTGGAAGCCCATCTTTCTAGTTTCCCATAAACCTCTGCCCATGATCTTGTTTTAGAGGTATATACTAGATTTTTGCACTTTTTCCCATTTCCCACTCTCTGTTCTGTATCAGAAAGGAAAGGGCAGTTTACAGATGCATCTTACGCACAAACATGGGTGAACAGTGAACTGGGACGCTTCCAGGCAGCCATGACTTTCTTAGTCTAAGCAGAGACGCCTCCTAAAGTGCCGGCACAGCAGCCACCATCTCCCCCTTCTCTGCACCTCTGGTCCTACTTTGAAGACAGCATTCCGCTCTTTGCAGCTTTTCTGGATTCATGGTGCTTTCCTTTTCATTCTAACAGCTGCTTATTTGCATAACCTGCTAAAGACTCATCCCCATCATCACACTAATGGACTTCCTCTAGCTTTGTGCACATTTTTCCTTCCTCGTTTAGATTTTATAACAAATAGCAACTTCTGCCCTTCAACAAAAGTGCTTCCTGCTTGAAACTTTCCACTGGCTCTCAGTTACACAAGGCTGGACTTAATAGACTCTCCTTTCCACAGAGTGGTGATTACATTGGTGTACAAGACCTTCCTGGAGGCCCTGCTTTCTTCATGGATGTTCCTTGAAGTTGGAGCTATAATAGAATACCTATCAATTCCATTTATCAGTTCATCATTATTAGGATACGTCTGTATTCCAGGCCCCAAGCTACTTCCCAGGTTATAAAGCAGACAGCTTTTGACTCTTTAGTCTCGTAACTATGTCAGAATTGCCTTGAAAAGAGGAATGTCTTCCCATGGCCATCAAATGCAGTAAGGGAGCAGTCCAGGTTACTAAGGTGATGGTGGGGTTGGGGTACTGGAATCTAGACACTAGTGAAGCACGCTGTCAAGGTCAAGAGCCAGCTAGGTGCCACATGCCTCTAATCCAAACACTGGAGAACTTGAAGGGATCATTTTGTGGATATCTGAGCTACGGAGTGAAACCTGTCTCAAAAATGCAACGGTTGGGGGTGTGGTTTAGAGCTACCCCAAGCTCTTAACTAGCAAATGCAAGGTCCTGAATCTTACCCCCAAGTCCAGGCAAATAGACAAAATTAAATTAAAATTAAAATAGGCCAGATTTTTCTCTAGTCTGCTATGAGGGGGGTGTCTTAATATTGTTGTGTTTCACAGATACAATAAGAGCATACAGGTAATAGGAAATTATTAATAATTCATTATTTTAAGCGACTATATTTCTCACAGCACTAACGTTTTGCATTGACATTGTTTCAGCGTTGGATCTTGTCGCGTGCTGGGCCAGAGCTCCACTACTGAATCACACCCTTTATATCACACATTTCCTTTATAACATTTTCTTCCATTGAATTCTTTGAGGGTAGAGCCAGTGAGGTGGTTCAGCGGGTAAAGTTGGATTGCCAGGCAAGCCTGGCGGTGCGACTTTAATCACTGGAAACCACAGAAAGGTGGAAGGAGAAAACTGATCCCACAAACTTGTTTTCTGACCTCCACACTTTTGTGTGGCACCTGAGTGTTCATATTCCACGCATGCGCACACACTTATTATCACTAATAAAATCTTTGGAGGTGATTATATCTCTTAGTGAAGTTCTGGAAAGGAACTTTAAGTCTGTGGATGTGGAGAGCACAAAGGAGGCATTTTCCCCTTTGTGTGCTGTACAGTTCCTGACCTATTGTGTTTGGTTGAGGAAGTCTGAAGATGTAACAATTCTTTCTAAAAGTGCAAGGAAAGGTTCATCACTTCCTGTTCCTTACCCAGCTATGGAGCACACCTCAGGATCCTTTTGTCTTCTGAAAATAAAAAGGGATTAGAGCGCAGGGCTTTCTAGGCGCTAAACCGGGGCGCTTACAAGCTTCTGTGGTCTCAGCAGTATAAACAGCTATTGTAAAACAGACGTTCACCAAAATAAGGGTGCGCGAGAACAGGGGCCCCTGGAGCAGACTTGGGGCAGCGCACAGGTGGGGGCAGCAGCCAGGTCTGGAGACGTGGGTGCCAGTTTTCTGCAGGTGCCGCCTCCTCGCCTTGGTTTCTCAGAGGGCAGGAACCGCGCGTTGCAGAGCGCAGGACTTGACTTCTGGAACAGCTCAAATGCTATTCTAGGTAGCAGACACCGATCTTGTCAAGTGTCCACACATGGCCCGGCCGAGGACAAACAGCATTCATACCAACCACCGCCCGCGAAGGGTGCGAGCAAAGGCTTGGGACGCTAGAGGGCTGGCCCGACTAGGCTTGGTACTGCTGTTTTGCGATGATTGCTTCCTCAGCCCGCTCATCATCCCTACTCCCTATTCTGATTGGCTCTTCCTCTTGCCAATCGGTTCCGCCGCGCTGACCTCCATTGGCCCCCTATCTAGGCCCCGCCCCATGATCTGGGCACGGGCAGTGGGGCGCCCGGGAGAGAACCCAGCTTGCTTGGGTCTTGGGGGAAGGCGGTGGTGGCTCTGGAGAAGGAAGAGGAGTGGGGCCGGAGGAGGCAGCGGCGGCGAACCGGCCAGGGTGATGGTACAGGTGCCAGGGCCCGGCGCGGAGCTGCCGCGCTGAAGGACGACGGGTCCCGAGTCCGCAGCGCCGCCGCGTCGCTCCCGGGGACGGGCGAGCGGGCGGGAAGATGCTGAGCAGGTTGATGAGCGGCAGCAGCAGGAGTCTGGAGCGCGAGTACAGCTGCACCGTGCGGCTGCTGGACGACAGCGAGTACACCTGCACCATCCAGGTCAGCGCCGCGCTGCCCGCCCGCCCGCTCGCGGGATCCCGCTCCCCACACTCTGCCAAGTTGGCGGGGGGCCGCCGCCCGGGGTCGCCCCAGCTCTAGCCCCGGCGCGGCGCTTTGTCCGCCCGGCAGCCGCACCGCCCGGCGCGCGGCATCCCTGCCCGAGCTCAGCCGGGGGCTGGTTCCGCGCGCCGTGCGCCCCTGCGGGGTGAGTCGCGTCCCGCACCCGCAACTCCTCTGCTCTGCGCCCTCCAGGGCGGAGGACCCCGGGTCTTTGCTCCTCCAGCCGGTGGATAGGTAGCACCTTGGGCGGGCGTCCGGAGCTAGGCGGGCAGGGCGGGAGACGTCTACCCGGGTCGCCCCGTCGGGACGCGGGCTGATGTCCCTCTAGCCCCACCAGGCCCTCCAGCCAGCCTTTATTTCCCTGGTTGGAAGGATAAAGGTTTATGTCATAATTTCTCTCGAGCGTTTGTGAGTCAGACGGAACGCGCAGCCCATGCGGAGTGGCCTATTGAAGGCGCCCAGCCCTCTGTGCTTTGAGGGTTTAGCTCCCTTCCTCGCCTTTTGATCCCCAAATCTCAACGTGCTGGTTATTTCTGGGGGTGGGGGGCGTGAGGCAAAGATTTAGCAACAAGTCCCAGCAATTTGGAGGTTGGCAGTGGCTGGAAAGAATCAAAGACTTACGGAAAAGCCAACAATGCAACAAAGCCGCACAGCGTTTCGTTCAGAACCTGGCGTTTTGAAAGGGTTTTTTTTTTTTTTTTTTTACAACCCCTGGCTTGAGTCCCTTCACTACTGGTGTGTGGCGCGTCAGGAGTCATGTAGTGTTTTCCCCAGGAATGCAGTCTTTCCTTTATAAAGTCAGAGATTGAAAGCGCCTACAATGCTCTCGTGTTTAATTCTTCTACCAGAGAACCAAGCCTGCGCTCACTGGCAGAAATTGCTCTTTGTGGAGAAGCAAATTAAGTTGGACCCTGGAGGGTCTCACCTGATCCCTTTCCTTTCCCGCAAGAACCCGGAGGAGGCTTCTAGACTCAGAAGTGATTAAAAAAAAAAAATCAAAAACCCGCCTGCCTAGACCCTGCCCCCAGGATGTTACCCACCCATCCATCCATCCATCCATCCATCCATCCATCCATCCATCTTGCTGACAATGCTCAATAGCATAAAACAGAGACCAGAGACGTGTGAGAAAGACGCTCCTGTGTTTGAGAGCTGCTTCTTGATGCTGACTGTGCCCAGTTCAGCCCCCCCCCCCCCCAAGCCCTGAGCTTAAGTGCTGACTGCTGCCAAAGGTCCAGGAGAGTAGAAATAGAGCACAGACTACCTTTTGAAGGCTACTTAATACAGATTAATCGCCCATAAAGATGCTAGCCATTAAGTGAAAGGATTTTTGTAATTGGCTATGATGGAGAGGGTATGTATATTTTCCAGCTCCATGGCGTGCTACTTTTTGTTTCTATGGTGTCATTGTTTCTATGTACAGTTTTCTCCCTGTTTTGTTTTAATGGAAGGGGAGAAAACATGGAATCGACACCTTCGCAGTTTGAGTACATTGTCAAGAGCTTTAAAAGTCTTTAGCCTTTCGTTTAAAAATTTAACAAATGTGTACAATAGCCTGCCGAGGGCAGTGTGAGGTTTAGACTTCATAGATCCTAAGAATACTTTTGTGGAATATAGTGACATAAAATTCCTCCAGTAGGTCATTAACTTTTGCCAAGGTGTAGAGTGCAAAGGAGACATGACTTGTCTGAAAATGCGTATAACCTCCTGATTTTGGCTATCAGGAAAAGGTACATGTGGTTCTCCCTTGTCCTCAGAGCTGGTGAGGGGGATTCATATTGTAGTTGTGGATGGTTCTTAATTGTCAAAGAGAACAAATATCTTAACGTTCAATTGGACTTACTGGAGTAATGTTTACTATATTCCACTTTTTGTGTTTCTTTTTTGTTACTCTTATTTTGTAATTTAATGTTATAAAACTTAGTCATGGCCCCATCCATGGTCTAGCTGTGTTAATCCTTGCACATGGGGATGCTGGTGTGGGCTGTAAAACACAGGACTTGTAGTGTATTTGTCTTTTTTACACCACTAGTTACGTAGTGTTTTGCTTTGTTTTTAATCCATATGGGAAAAGGTTTGAAAAAAAAATTATCTACAGGATTCTAATATTTTTTATATACTGCTTTTAAACAAAGCATTTGGAGATTGAACTTTTCTTAGCAACTTTCTTGTTTTATATTTTTTTTTGGTGTGTGTATGTGTGTGTGTATGTGTGTGTCCACATGTGTTTACTTGTTAAACAACTCGGTATAGTTTTAACATGGAAAGCTAAGTGTTATTTTCAGTACTTTAAGAATGGCAGTACTGTATATTTTAAATCTTTTGGTGATGATTTGGACTCCCCCTTTTTTCTTGAAGTGTTATACTGTCATTTAGATATGGTGTCTATTTTAAAAATATTTTTATGGCTTTTAAAACAGCCAGAGACCATGGAAGGCAATTCAGAATTAGAAATATACCAGTGGTTTGGTGTCATGAAAGCCGTGTTTGGTCAATTCCAGTTGTGCAGCTGTTCTGCCAACGTATTGGCTTAGCGGCACTTCATAATGCAGTTCTATGAGCTGGCCTTCGGGATATAATTATTAAGGTAACCAGAACGGCTTCTATCTTTGCAAAGACGGTTCTCCCAGTCGCAGGCCTACTCTTTCATCCTTTCTGATATGGAAATGTATCTGTAGACCAGGAGAAACGACAGTATACATAGGAGGATTTTGTGTAATTGCTCCCCTGTGAAGAATGTTGTTAGTAGCCAGTTTTGAAGGTCATTGCCTGTACGTTCGGATCTGATCCACATTTTTGACTCTTTTGTTTTTATCTATGCAAATCTGTATTCATTTGCCACATTTTCTACCTGACTTGTTATTTGGAAGTATATAGGAAAAAAAAAATGAAAAGACTAACTAGTATCTTTGAAGTCAACCTGAATGGAATAATTCAAGTGTCTAGATATGTTTTGTCCTAAACAATGCACTTTTAATAGTTTATGTGTTATTTAGGATACAGTGCAGACATTTTAGTAGCAGTATCTATTGGACAAATTAAAATATTTTGGGGGGGGCGATAACTCAAAGATAAAACCACCTTAGAAATGAGTTAGATTTTATTTGGGACACACTGAAATTACAGATTAAGCAGCCAGGTTAAGCAGATTTTTCAGTGTTATAAATAAGCTGTGTGTGCAGAGGCAGTTCTACAGAGGGACCAATATTTGGAGACCTAGAAGAGGGAGGGAGGGAGGGAGCAAGCGTGGAGTCCTGGGCTTGCCAGGGATCTCTGCATTCATTGTAGCTCATTTCCCTCACAATGACATTATGGATTGATTATATATCCATTGCACTAAATGAGGAAAATGGGATGGTGGATTGGTGGGTGGGCCCTGTGCCGAATGGCTGATTACATGCTAAGCATTCTGTTAGACACTTTGTTTGTGCCTTACAGGAAAGAGGTAGGCAGTATTGTTTCTGTTATAGGTGCAAAGACAGTCTCAAAGGGCAAAGAAATTTACTTATTGTTTGTAGGTGACCTTACTGTATTTAAGCCAATGGTTTTCTTATTTACTCTCTATTCCGACTCCCTAAATAGCTTCCTGTTTTTCTACCTTAATTTTCTTATCTTTACAGTGCAAATATTATGCTTATTTCATAGCAAAAAGAAAATTAATTAAAAATATTGCAAATAAATGAGGAACACATTAAACACAAAATAGAATTGGGAAATTCTTACTTTAAAAAAAGGAAAATAAGTCATATTGAATCATAAGACGCCTTAAAATGATTTCTAATTAATCTCAATGAAGTTGTGAAATTCCGTCCTGGGGTAGTATAATTTCTTATTAGAGCTTTTCTTTCAAATTTAAGAACTTGGGCTGATGAGATGCTCAGCAGGTAAAGGTGCTTGCTGTCAAGGCTGATGACCTGAGTTTGATCCTAGAAGCCCCCATGGTAGAGGAAGAGAAACAATTTCTACAAGTTGTTCTTTGACACCCCACCCCTGTAAATAAAGTCCATTTCTCTTCCTCTGTCCTATCCTCAGGAGGATGCTTATTCTTGGACTATGGTTGCCTTTTCTAAGAATTTCTGCTTCCCATTTTGTAAGTAGAGTCCTTGCTTTCATTAATGCAGAATGAATATTAGTAGAAAATTAGATAATTTTATTCACAGAGAAAAACACAAAGCTGTTGTATTTTCATGAATATTGATTTTTGTTAAAAAAATTACTTAGCAGGTAATTATGCTGTCTCAGGATCTCTGTTACAATAGCAAGTCAGTTAGTCTCTAGCTCTTGAAATTAAGATAACTATAAAATTAGCCTCCCAGAATCCTAAAAGCACTTGTATTGCTTAACTTCAGTATTAAATATTGTATAAAACTAATTAGATATTGTATAAAACGTATCTTTTTGGCACAGAAGATAAATTCTGGATCCTTGACTGTCTCCTCATTCTTCCTGTTTGGGGGTGTCAGCGGCTCTCGGGGGATCCAGAAACGTTCACTGCAGCAGATTTCACTTATGGGTATTTGTATGAATTGGAATTCTGTTAAACGCTTGGCATGAATGTGCTAGATGAGGCAATCCAGCAAACCGTGAAATAAAAGAACATGAAATTTTGAGTTAGCGTCATAGCCCAGAGACTCATTTATCATAGCTGTGCTATCATCAGCATCACACTTTAAAAACAGACTTCTGTTTTTTTGAGAGAGAGTCAGTCTCCCTATTATGTAGCCATGGCTGTCCTGGGACTCACTATGTCGACCAGGCTGGCATTGACTTCCCAGAGATCCTCCTGCCTCTGCCTTTAGGCAAGCCACCACACCAGGCAAACAGACATTTCTGTTACAGATTTGCAGTGGTTTATGCATAGGTCTGACATACATAATACAGTATCAGAAGCAAGGCATTGATTTTTGGAAATACTTTACTGGTAACATAATTGCTGTCCT